CACTATGCTGTAACTAACTGCTTAAACATGGGTATAAAATGTTAGATCCTTATAGGAAAGTCGTTCTGTAAGAAGGTTGGTGGTTTTGAGTGCCCAATGCCCCTTCATCACTCAGAGCTGTTTTTATTGAGCTCTTGGTGGAGCTGTCACTCAAAGGTGGGAGTGGCTGATGGGGAGTACAGCTTTTTATTATACTGTTTCCTTGAAAACCCAGTCAGCTGTACACCTCCTCCAATTTAGTCCAACGTCTCCCTGCCAATTCCTATTTCTCGTGTCGACATTGTCAGTCCTTTAAATGTTTGTGCTCCTCGGGGCTTTGTCCTTAATCTCAAATGTGTATCTCTAGTCCCACTCTCTAACAAGAGTTCCAGGTCCACATGTAAGCTGGACATCTCCATTTGGATGTTTAACAGGTTAAAACCTAACAAGTTCCAAAAAGGACACATCTTCCACCCATCCTCCTCAGTTACTTCCCAATTAGAGTGAGTGATACCATCATCCAGTCACTACAGCCTGAAGTCTGTGAATTATCTTAGACTCCTCACTCTCCCTTGCCTCAAATCAACCACCAAAACCCATTGATTCTACTGTTTAAATTTCTCATCAATTCTCTCCTCCTTCATAAGGGTTCCAGAGCATGATCATGACACTTTAAGCTTCACATCCGTCAACAGCTTCTCACTGCCTTCAGGGTCAAACTCTTAGCATAGTGATGTGCCACTGATTCCTGGAGAGTATCTTTGCCACCTCCATCAGCTATTACCACCTACATAACTTTGGGCAAGTTATTTAACCGCTCTGAAATGTCACTTCCCCATCTGTAAAATGGTAACAATTACTTTATGGGATTATTACCGGGTTAAATAATAGATATAAAGCCCTTCATCGAGTACCTGATACATAGTAAGCCCTCAATAAATGGTGGCCATTTCTACTTAGCATGGAGGTCTGGTGTATACCACACCCTTCTGTGTCCTTAGGCAGATTTTGTATCATATTCATTTTAATTTTAGCTTCAGTTGACTGTACTAGGGATGCATACTTAGGCCAAAGTAGCCAATCCACAGGCTGGTCTGTGACCCACAACTGCCTGATACAAAAGAATAACTAGTAACTAGGCAAGAATCCCTCTCTCACAAATTTAAAGAAACACCAAGAGAACAAATGATTAAGCAGGGAGAACACAATCTCAGAAATGACAGAGGCTGGTATGGCTTTGATGGTCTATATACGAGCTGATGTCCTAACATAGCAGGAACCGTGACTGAACTAAGGAAGTCAAGTGATACCGGGACTTGAAGAAGCAGACCCTATCAGTAACTCCGGATGCCATCCACTTGGGAACAGATCTCCTCTTTTCCAGGCTGGTTTCAGTATGGCATGGCACTCTCCCAGAATTGTGTTCTTGCCAGGGCTCTGAGGCATGGACAATTAGAGTAAAATGAGAATGGCCCAGTCTAAGATGTCAACTTAGGGGAATCTTGCAGACATGGACATCCAGGGGACAATATAGCTGTTAAGAAAGGGTCATTGTGGACACAATATATACTGAAACCTGTGAGAGCCGGAACTGGACAGGGCTGCCTTGTTTTTCCAGGTCTTGCAAGTTTTCCACCTTTGACAGGGTACAGTCTTACCACTTCCTATCACTCTGTATAGCAGAAAATACTAGTTTTCCTTCTTTGACAGGTTTCTGCTTTACACAGGTTCTGGCTTTCGCAGGTTTACTGTAGTTGTTAAGAAAGGGTCAACGCAGGCACAATGAGGTAAGGAGTGGCCTAATATTCCAAAATCTTTGGCTTTGAAAACTAAAAACTCATGGAGGTTCTTTAGGTTTTATATTACAGATATTCCCTGAGTTATGCAAATCTGATTTAAACAAATGTGACTATACACAAATTACCTAAGGTACTTCATAACGTTTTAGCAATGCAGAAAACTTTGTACTCTACACAGAAATACGGAGCAGTCAGATGATGAATGAATACCATGAGGTGAGAGTGGAAGGCTAGCAGCAGCCACCATAAGGTGTCCCCTGCCTCCAGTCTCACCTGCTTTCCTTTGGCTGCTGCTTTAGCTCTGGCCTGGCCTTCAGGACGACACTGGCCCAGGCTCTTGTAGGTTGACTAGCCCAGTGAATAAAAACTGGACATAGGTGATTTCTAAGAATCTGTCCATCTTTAAAATTCTACGATTCTGCTTCCTTTCCTTAGTAGTTCTCTACCTACAAAATACACCATTAAAGATCACCAATAAAACATTTGTTAGTAAAAGTACCTCACTATGGTGCTAAAACATGTATGACATCAGTTTCCTACCTGGTTAGTAGTCACTAACATTCCTCATGCCAAAAGCAGAAATGGCAAAAAGCCTCCTTGTCAAGTCCGCTAAAACAATGAAGTAAAGTAGTTTTTATGGCATCGGTTATATTGATAATAATCTTTTCTATCAAGAATTTGTACAGGCTTCAATAATATTTAATGCTAATACAACAGTTTGAGTTTTATTTAGACATAAAAGAAATAAGCATCATTCATAATTAAATTCAGGTTTAAAATTCTGTGATTCACTTTTTTTTTGGTGTTAAAAAACAGAAATTTATTTTCTCACAGCTCTAGAGGTTAAAAGCACAAATCAGGGTCTCAGCAGTGTTGATTCCTCTGTGGGCCTCTCTCCTAGTTTCTGGTGCTGCCCCAATCTTTGGCATTTCTTTGCTACTTGTAGATGTATCTGCCTCCTTTGTCACATGGCATCTCCCCTGGTGTTTCTCTGTGTCTTATTCCCCTTTTTAAGACACCACTCAGAAGGGATTAGGTTAAGACCCACCCTACTCTTACATGACCTTATTAGCATAACAAAAGAAAACCCTATTTCCAAACAGGGTCACATTCACAGGCACAGGCATTAAGACTTCAACATCTTTTGGGGTACACAACTCAATTCACAGCACCTTCCTGATGGATCCTTTTCTACATACATATTTTTAAATTGTCATTTAGGTGAAAGTTTATAAAGGAAATTAGTTTCTCATTAAACAGTTAATACACAAATTGTTTTGTGACATTGCTTGCCAACCCCATGATATGTCAACACTCTTCCCTTCTCCTCCCCAGGTTCCCTGTTTCCATTTGTCCAGTTTTCCTGTCCCTTCCTGCCGTCTTTGCTTTTGGGCTGGTGTGCCCATTAGCCTCATATATATGAATAAATTGTGTGTGATTTACTTTTTAAAAACTTTTTATAATAGGAAATTTAAAACATATACAAACATAGAACCGTATAACAGACCCCATGTAGCCATCATCAAGTACTATGGATTGACTTGTGTGTCCCACCCCCCCACCAAACATGTTGAAGTCTAACCCCTGCACCTGTGAATGTGATCTTGTTTGGGGGAATAGGGTCTTTCTTTGAAGATATTATCAGTTAAGTCAGACTGGAGTAGGATGGGTCCTGGTGCTAATCTTTTCTGACTGGTGTCTTATAAAAGCATAAACCAGAAGCAAGGACAGAGCTGCACATGGGAAAACAGATGCCATGTAACTATGGAGGTGGCTGCATCTACAAGCAGCAAAGGACACCAAGGATTGTCAGCAGCCACCAGAAACCAGGGGAGAGGCATGGAGCAAGCAGCTTCCCTCTCAAAGCCCTCAGAAGGAATCAACAAAGCCAATACCCTGATTTAGACTTCTAACCTCCAGACCTGGGAGAAAAGAAATTTCTGTTCTATAAAAACTACCCACTTTGTGGTATTTTGCTATGGCAGCCCTAGGAAACTAAGACACCCAGCTTCAACAATTTCAATTCATGACCAATCTTGCTTCATCTACTTCCTTAGTCCATTTCTTTCCCCTCACCCCAGACTATTTTGAAGCAAATCCAACACATCATATAATTTCACTATAAATACATGACTTTTTAATAGTGGCTCTTGGATTAGATCTCATATCAGTAGCAGGAAAAAAAATTGGTATGGCTTAACTAAAGAAGGTGTTTACCAATTTTCCCTTTCTTAAAATTTCTGCTAGGAGACTGAAGTCACAAAGTGGTAGAAGAGAACATATGCTCAACTAGAATATGTAGTTCAGTTCTAAACTAATATAGATTTACTTCTTGAAAAAATAGGGTAGTCTTAATCTATTGATAAAATTGTAAAGAATACTAGTTAAAACAGGCAAGATCATCTATAGTCCCAGGATTCCTCTTCTTCAATTTACTTAAATTCACAGCTAGCTCTCAGACACAAAATTGCTACACTCAGCCCTGAAGAATAGAAAATGATGTTCAACACATCATACATATAAGATTTTCTGAAACCCAGATTTTCTTAGTGTCTATGGATGATTTCTGCATATACTTCATTAAAAGAACAAAAACAAGTATATATTTGCTGAGAGGAGCTTTTAAACTTTCTTTTTCCATCTACATACCAAAGTTATTCAGGGTAACTGACTCAAAGTCAAGGCAATGGGAAATACTAAAAACAACGTGAAAAGTCTTTTGATCTAGAAAGATGGATCAGCCAAGAGAACAACAGCCTAGCTATATCCCATTAACTGCAGGAGACAAATAGCTTTTTAAAAAAAGCAGGGGTGGGGGGCAGAAGGAAACATGCTGTCTTTTTTCTACGTGGTTTAGATACTTACAAATTAAACTAAAGTTAATTAGAAATAGAATGACCTATGTCAAATACTAATTCAAGTTCCTCTTATAATTCTTTGCCTCCTCAGCAAAAAAAAATGGGAAAAGAACAAGTTTCTATTTCATTTGAACATATAATTCCAAATTTCATATTTATGCTTCTGGAGAAAACAAAATACCAGTATAACTGATTCAAGTAGTATAAAAAAATTTTTTTTTTGGTGAATTCTTCATATCACATAGCATTTAAAACCTTTTGGTGACCCAATTATTTTCTGCTTTGAATTTTTTGTTGATACCATGTGTTTTCACTAATGGAAGGCATGCTGTTTAAAGGACCAATTCAGAATTTTTGTAATGAGTTATGGATTCTGATACCCATTATCTGGGATCACATATGTCCCAGCAGACTCTGAATGTCGTAAATCCTACCAATATGAGTCAAGGATAAAATCATTCTTTTAATTTTATTTCTTGAAAATTTACAAAACATAAAGGAAAACATGAAGCGACCTGGCAATGACGGCACATACATTTTATTCTCCTTCTTAGCTTTTTTATAAAGCTTTTCAAAACATGATACAATACATTCTTCCTTACTGCAAAAGCAGTACTTACAGCCCAAATAAACAAAGCCAAGGAATTTTTTATCTCAAGAAAATTACCACTACAATGCATTATACCTTATTGCAAAAGCTGTACTGACAGGCTAGATAAATGAAACTAAAAGAATTTGAATCTTAGGAAAATTACCACTACTATGTATTCTTCATTAAAACGAAAGCAGTACTAAAAACTAAGAAGCAGAAACAGCTGCCCTGGAATACTGCAGAACTGCTCACAGCGGTACATTCACCTGCTACACATGGAAGCAATGATTGGGCCCTAAGACTGAATACAGGGTAAGAATAACTTATAGGAGTTCGAGTCTCTTGAAAAGTACCACTACAATGCATTCTTCCTTATTGCAAAGGCATTATTTACTGTTCAGAAGTTAGAAAAGCAGAGCGCCAGTAATAACCTAGAAATAATGAATGGCACCAAGGAGAAAATGGTCACTATGACTGAACAAAGACTGTGAATAGTGTACTCAAGAACATTCACACAAGAAAATAATAAGGAGGCTTATCTCACAGAAATAAAGGCAGACCTATCAAAAGTCTAGAAAATTCACACATCCATGAGGCATCACCTAAGACAATGCTCAATCTACATAAAAATGAGGCTCCAACTCAAGGTTCTTGAGTTTTACACATGTCAAAAGGCTCCCACCTTGAGGCTACATGAGTTAAAATTGGGGCACCTCCTTCCCAAAGAACTCCAGAGGCATAAAAAGTGGCTGCGATACAGTATGTCCCACAGGTCACCAAACGGTTAAAAAAAAAGTTTTTAACACTGCTCATGTTTTGTATTTAAAAAAAAAAAAACAATTTATTATTATTGGCAGATTCAGGAAGTTTTCAAACATATCAAAATACTATGAAAATGCCACCTCATAATATTACAATAGCAAGAAGTAACAAAGTAAACAGGGCAAGCTGGAGGCAGAAATGTGAAACAGACAAACAACTTGGACATGCCCAGTCTTCCCATGATGTATCCTTTCTCTGTGCAACTTACTCTTTATGGGGAGAACTCCCTTCCTCAGATATCCAAGGTCCTTAGGTTCCCCTTTTTAAAACATGCTCTCATGGAAAAAAATGTGAAATTCATATGCACACAGGCAATCAAAACTAACAACTTGAAGTATATTTGCATCTTGAACAACTTACAGGAATAACAAGTGTGGAGATTTTAATATCAGTTAGCAGGCAGAAGAGTGCTTTCATTGGTGCCTTTGAAATCTCACCTTAAAAACAGTCACATATTCAGCCAATAGTTTAGGCCACTGCCAAAGACAGGCAAACGCACATAAAGTAAACCTACTAATTAGGGTTTCAACTCTAAGATTTGAATTTTACAGTTCAATTTTTTTCAGCAGTGACACTTTAAAATAAAACTACCTCCAAAATGAAAATTGTGTATCTGTTACCAATAATGGTATCTGTGTTTTATCTGCAAAAGTAGCTCAAGGAAAACAAAAGTGTGACATAAGAGCAATGCTTCAAAACCAAAAACGTCCTGAAATAAGTTCGGAAGAGGCTAAACCAGAAGAGATGTTTAAAAAGTTGGCTTTGTTATTCGTAACTGATATTTTCTTAAAATCTATTAAAAGTTCAATTTTAGTAATTAAAATGATACAAATGGCTACTTTTGTTAAGTGTACCTGGCTATATTCTCTGAGTATGTTTCATGAGGAAGCACTATAAAGAAAGATGAAGTATGAGGGGAAAATCATGTACTGCACAGTTTGTGAACATTCAGAAGTTATTAAACTTCCTCAATCTTAATTTAAAAATCCTGAATTCACTGAAGTAAATAATTTTTTGAAATTCTACCACGGGAATCATGCTAAAAATAGAGAATTCTGTTAGAGAGTTTTAATCAAAATGTTAGTATTTCTACTTTCATACTGAAAAAAGAATTTCTGAAACGCAACAAAGCTAAACTAATACCAATAACTTTCGAGCTGTTACTAATAATCTGGTGTGGAATCAACACAAATTATAGTCACAAAATGGCTAAAATATGTTTGCACAGTTTGCCAAACACTGTGGATTGACAGTCTTGCCTTTTTCTCCTATAGAGTCTAAAAAGAAAAAAGCTCTTAACTTCAAATACTTATAGCTAATGATGGCCATACAACAGGGTTCTGGCTATGGTGAGCTGTTCTTCCCAAATAAAAAGGTAAAGACTTGCTAGGAGAAAGCCCCTATACTTCTTTCTCCTTTTTCCTCCCTGAATGTGGACAAAAGACCCTGAAACGGTGAAGTCCCTTTAACCATGACAAAAAGAATAAACACGAAGGTCTACATGGCAGACCATGTGGAAAGGTAAAAGGAGTCAGGGTCCCTGAGCTACCTTATCAGGCCTGGACCACACACCTCTGGATTTCTTATTGCATAAGATACATAAAAGCTATCAGTTTAAGCTACTATAGTAGGGTTTTCCATTAGTGCAACCGAGTGCACTTTTAACAGATACAAATACAAAATTCTCACATAAAAATCAGAACCACGAGTTACAAAGAAATCCTCACCAACCCCTCAAATACCTTAAAAAAGAACCTCAAAATAAGCTTGTATTTTTGTTTTCTTCACGTAAAGATAATAAATACCACATAACCAACATAAAGAAGAGGGGGGATGGTGGTGGTTTATGTTTTTAACTATGAAAAAGTGATAGAGGTCTGAAATTCCAGATCCTAATGCTAAATAAACGTGAGACAAAGCTGGGGGAGGAAGTAGGGCATGAGTGTACCACCAGATAATTATGGTCTAATATGGGCTTTATCTGATATTTCCTATATATCAATTTCAACTGTCAGTGAGGAAAAATAAAGTTTATTTCTTGGGCAGAAGAAATTCCAATTCAGTTTTAAGTCTAAACCTTCAAACTTGGGAAGCTTTTCTCCAGGTCATCGGCAAGGGTCTTATCAACCTCATGTAGGATTTTAAGAAAGTCTTCCACCTGTGAGTCAAACAAAGGAACCAAATAAATATAAGTGGAGGAAAGGGTGGTTTAAGATACTGATTGTTGACTGTAAAAATGCTGTCCCTTTGGTATCTACATAGTCCAACTGACAAGTGTTGACAGATTCCCAAATGACAAGAACAGTACTTCTTTAATCTTCTCTGAAACATCACAAAGTGACTATCCCTTATCAGTTTAGTTATACTCTTGAGCTAGTACTTCTCCTCCACTGCTTCCCCTTTAGGGTCCATCACTGGGGTTTTGTTACCATCCTCCTTGCTTACATGACCCCTCGCTCTCACATACTGTACTTCATTTTCCTAAAAAAGTTCCTATTTTGGAATGTCTGACAATTGCTGGCATTGACTTGACAGCAACTGGTTTAATGGTAACAAATAGAATGTTACTTGAATAATTATCAAAATTTATTAACTATTCCTAAGAATCTTACTTGTGCATAATATATATGTTATCAACTTCTCAGCAGAAAAAGTATATAAGTTCAGTGTTGGTTCCCTTCTTTAAAAGTTAAAATTGTTACTCAGTCCAGTCCCAAGAATCAGCCATTGAGTCAGCTACCCAACAAAGGCGTTAAGTGGTGTGAATGGTATGCACTATCTTCTTTAACAATGGCCTCAAAGATCAAGCACTTACTTGAAAACATTGTACACAGTTATCCTCTTAAGCTCAGCCATCTATACACTTAGGCATACTCACCGCGGGGCTGTACAAAGGAAGAAGGTTTTGAAATGCACAGGAACACTTCTGTTTGCTTAAATGGCCCTCCTTCAGTCCCTGAGCCATAGTCTCCTAAAACAAAGATTTAACATCATCAGAGGAAATTTCTAAAGCTGTATCAGATGAATAAAGACAAATCAGTATATACATTTCCCTACTGATCCCACATGCATTTCAAATGTCCCAAACTGAACCCACCACCATTCTTCCTTCCATAACTCAAAAACGTTCTCCATCGCAGTCCTTATTTTAATGAACGGCGCCACCACCCATCCTGCCGCACTAACCAGAAACTTGGGTCACAGCCAAGACCACTTCTCTCCTGCTGCTGACCCCTCCCCCAAGTGTTCAACACATTCTACTGATTTCATGTCCTAAATCTCTCTCTTACCACACTCACTCTCTCCATTCACACTTCTATTGCTTAGGCCGTCATTATTTTTCAGATTATTTCTGCAGATTATCTGCGAAAGCCGGCTGACTGGTCTCCTAGCCTCCAACCTGGACTCTATTCCTTCCTCTCTATTGATTTTGGAATAATCTTTCTAAACTGATCATATCATTTGCTGCTTAAAAAAAAAAAAAAAACCTCTAGTGGCCCCTCGGTCTCATCAAGATTAAGTCCAAATTCCATAAGAATGGCAAATAAGAATTTTTATGACAATTTTTATCATTGGCATATTCTCAGCACACTTTCCTCCTGTCACTTGATAATTAAGAAATAATTATTATTCTCCTAACATAAAACCAAAGCGATGGCAAAGAAAGGGAAAAATACTTTTAATGAATATATTAAAGATATATTATTATCTTAGAAGTTCATATGAATTAATAATCCCAATGGATAAATCTATAAAACAGGAAATACAAGTAATATACAAACATATGGAAAGATGTCTAGCCTCATTAATACTTTAAAAATGCAAATCAAAATAAGGCACAATTTCTCACCTATTGAACTTTATATAAAAATCATAATATCCACTAATAAGAGTCAAGTAAAACCAATGCTCTCACATGTCAAAAGCATTTTGGCAATACACATTATGCTTAGTCATTTTCACTTTTATAACATCAAATCCAGCAATCTAACTTCTGAAAACCTATGCTAATGTAATAACCCTAAACCTGGAAAATACAAAAATGTTTGCTGAAGCATTTTTAAAATAGAAAAAAAAAAGATTAGAAACTGCCTAAACAATGACCAATAAGGAATAATTAATAAAGTATGGTAAATTTATTACATAAATATTATAGGGGCATTATAAACAATGGTTATTAAGACTATATAGCAATATGGAAAAGGTAAGTAGGACAACTCATCAAAAGACAATTCTCCAGAATAACAGAAACTTGTTTTAAGGAATATTCTTCTTGAAAAGAATATACTCTTCATAGTTATACTCGTGCATATATTTTTTCCTTAAATATATGGATAAAAAGAGTATTCTCAAAGGGAGAAAATGCTCAATAAACATTCAGGAAAAACATACCTTAAAACAAGTTTGAGATAAATTCTGAAAATCAATTTTTTGGCAAGTCGAACATTAAATAAACTCAGTTACAGAAATGCTTTTCAGTGAATTGATCTAGAGTTAGGAAAAGTGCTTATAATATAATGTTAAGTAAAAAAAGCATTTTACAAAAATTATATATACTGGGTTATATCCATGTAAAAAATGCATATATAAATACTTGAAGGAAATTATACCAAAACACAACACTTGCTGGTTTAAGATTATCAACTTATGGCTGATAAATTTTTCTTTCCTCTATTTCCCCAAATTTATGTACTGTAGTTCTACTATTTTTCTATATTAAAAAAAAATAAAAATACTAATAAAGTTTGGAATGTTAAGCAATCCATACTTTCTTTTGCTGAAGAAATCATCAGTACTTCTTCCATACCTTTGTTAATGCCTGAAAAATATTAGAAAGAAATTCACACGAAATGTCCTTTAAGATTTTCAAGTGTAACTCATCTCGCATTAAGTCAGACTTCTTAGTCTCGTCTGTGTTAGACTCTGCCGAGTTCTCTGGTTTCTTCTGACAACGTTCCACATTTTGTAAGACCCGAGTCAGGCTGTCAATTAGAGGAAGATCTACTGTACAAATAAATAAGGAGGTATAAACTTGACCAGTAAATTTTGGTTTTTCATTTACTCATTCATGTATTTATTCAACAAATACGTACTGAACATCTACTAGTGCTAGGCATTATATTTTAGGCACTACAGATACAGTGGTAAACAAGACTATCAAGTCCTCAGCCTCTGAATGTTTATATTTTTATACCTTTAAATAAGTAAAACAGATCATTTCAGACTTTGGTCAGTGCTAAGAAGGAAATACCATTCACATCCACTGCCACTGAGTCAATTCCTCCTCATAGTGACCCTGTAGGACAGAGGAGAACTGCCCGATTGGGTTTCTAAGGCTGTAAATCTTTAAGGAAGCAGACTGCCACATCTGTCTCCCACACAGCAGCTGGTGGGTTCAAACGGCCAACCTTTAAGTTAGCAGCCAAGTGCTTTAACCACTGTTCAACCAGGGCTCCTATGAAGGAAGTAATGAAGGAAATAAAAAGGGTATACAATAAGGCAGCTGGGCAGGGAAGACACTCTGAAGACGTGACACTAAGTTGAGAATTAAAGACAAGAAGCAGTTCAAAGAAAGTGTTTCAGACAGAAGGAATAACTGCAAAAGCCCAAAGAGATATATCAGAAGGTCTGAAGAACAAAAAGGAGGCCAGTGTGGCTCGGGCCTAGTGAGCAAGGGGGAGGTGTGGCAAAAGATGAGGTTAGGGAGTCAGGCAAGAGCCCTATTGTGCAGGGCCTTAGAGGCCATACTAAGAAGAGAATTTCATACTTCAACTATCATAAAAATCTTAAACAAAGCTTTTAAATTTTGTTTTCTTAAGTCACACATAAAAACATCCAGTACGATCTCTTAGAAGACTGAACCGTCATTCTAATTAGCCTATAAAAGCTGAATATAGCACTAAACCTCAGTCTCAAAAAAAGTTACAGCATGAAAATGCTAACATATCTCACTCTGATTTAATCACGGATTCTAACTTCATAATTTCTGCTTGATAATTACAAATCCCAGGAAAAAAAGTTTTCTGTAACACTGAATCAAGATTTTATAAGACTTAACTTCACTTCCAAACCTAAGTCACCACAATACATGCAAATTACATTAAAAAAATAATAATAACAATAATAGCAGGGGAATTCAGTTGACCTCTGTAAATATTCTTAACTGATAAACTCATAAACACTAGAACTCATATTCTTGTGTATTTACTCTTTCACTTGTGTTATTATCACTCTTGACACTAATGACCCAACTCTTTATTCCACGACCTTCCTATAGGTCACATCAGTCTATACCAGCCTCCCTTCTCTCTTTCTTACCTCAACTGACTATGGAAAGTTCTTTTTTAAAGGCTAGGAAAGGGTGAGGGGTTTATCAGTGGCTTACAGTTAAAGAAGCATCTTTATTCTTTCTCTACCAATCACAAAAATTATACATTAAGTTTTGGGCGGGGGAAAGAAAGATAAAGAATTCCCAGACCCTCGATATCAGGGAAGATGTGTTCCTAGCATTCCAAACAAACACTCTATATATGATTTTCAACAGAAAGACTGTATGTGTAAGGTTAGGAAGAGCACTGGGGTTCAAAGTCAGCAAGCGTCACACACAAGCCATATATGCAGGAAGCAAATGGCAAGGGGAAAGGTAAGAATTTTGCCATAGCTACTTCTCATCTGGGAAAAAACGCTAAAAGACTCATAGGTCAAATTCTTGTTAGCCTACTTCTTGCAGAGCTAGTCCAGAAAAAACTCAGTTCAAAGATGAGTATTAAAATGGAACCAGAACAGGAGCAACACAAAAATACTAAAAGAAAAAAGAAAGGACCAGGAAAAACAAATAGCACATAAATAGTACTCACCAAAAAACACTGACGTGAAGCTTATGACTATTAAGGTAATAATTAGCCATGAGTTTTGAAAAATAACATGTAAACAAGCACAAAGCAGAGATACAAGAGCTCACTCAGACTAAGAAATGAAAGACAACAGGAAGGGAAACCTGAGCTGGGAGAGCTCAAGGAGGAGGTTTACAAAGAAATTTAAGCCACCACCAAAATGAAGGTAAAACTGGCAGCAGCACAAAGGAGAATAGACCCTGCTGAAAACACACTAAGGGACACAGGGGTTAGGAAGAAGGAAAGGAAAAAAAAAAAGGAATGGAAATACAGAGTTAAAAAAGGATGGAGAAAATAGTTAATGAAAGACAGGAAAGGAGATCTCTCTCACATAAATATAATTCAAGCCCTCAAAGAAGAAAACAAAAATGATGGAACACAACAATATTTACAGATGTAACTCAGGGGGAAACTTCCTCCCAAAAACTTGAATATGCAGTTTGAAAAGTACCAGGGAAAACTGACAGGGAATGGTCAACACTGAGATGTATCTTTACTAAGTCATTACATTTTAAGAATAAAACAAAAAATATATGTTTTTGGCTGTTATAATTATAAAGGTAACCACCAAACCAAAAATATAAATCTCCCTAAATGTTAGAACTATGCACAAAAAACAAAGCAAATAAACCACATAGTAGAATATTTACATGTGTATATTATTATTGTTGTGTGCTGACAAGACAATTCTGACTCATTGCAACCCTACAGACACCATACAGTGTCCTAGGCTGTAAATCCTTACAGGAGCAGATCACCAGGGCTTTTCTCCAGTGGAGTGATGGTGGGTTCAAACTGCCAACCTTTCAGTTAGTAGCCAAACTCTTAACCATTGCACTACCAAGGTTCCTTCTAAGCAGGTCTATACATAATAGAAAATATCATATGACAGCACTCAGATCAAATGTATCTATCATAACAATACGTGTAAATGAGTTTAACTCACCTGTTAAAAAGAAATGGACACACCTAAGACAATTTAAAAAGACTGAAAAGGATAGGCAAAGGTATCAGTGGCAAATGCAAATGAAAAGAAAATAGGGGTGCAATCTTTAGATCTGATAAAATAGGAATAAGGGGGAAAATAGTATTAAAAGAGACAAAGATGAACAATTTATAACAAATGTCTATACACCAAATAACATAAGATGAACACTCATAAAGCAGACTATAAATGATAAAAAGAGAAGCAAACAGAGGTGGGGCCAAGATGGCAGAGTAGTCAGATGACTTCCTATGTCCCTCTGACAACAAAAACCTGAAAAAACAAGTGAACTGATTGTATATGAATATCTAGGAGCCTTGAATAAAAAAAGAGTTGCAGAATCAGAGTGAGTGACAGGGGGAGAGAGAGACGGTTCAGAGGCAGCGAGGAGTTGCCTGACCTGACCTAACGGGAGCCGCAGCCCTTCAGCCCAGATCAGCTCAGGGTGCTGGCAAACAGCTGCGTGTGTTCACTCGCTTGGGAGGCACTTTCCACATCGAGAAAGACCTGGCAGCTGAGAGTCTACTTGGACACTCTGAACCAGTGAAAAGCAGCACTCAAGTGGCTAAAGATAAGTACTTGAATGTGGTCTACCGCGGGGATTTTAAAAAACAAAAAAACCCATTTGGGAAAAACCTCTCTCCCATTTACCTCCTCCCTCCCTGCTCTGCACTGGGTCCTGGCCGGCTTCAGAGATCTGTGAGTCCCCTGGGCCGGAAGAAGATCCCATAAGGCGCCCTGACCCATTCTCCTGGCCTTGGAGAGAGAACAAATTAACAAACAGGGAAAAAATAAGCTACTGGCTCCCCTAAGCCAGGACCTCAGGGTTGGCACAGCTCCTTTGCCTAGGCACAGGCATAAGGGGTCTGCAGACTTTTAGTGCCTTCCACCCCTGCACAGACTTGTGTGGGCCCATCTCAACAGCGTAAGCCCTCACTACCACAGTACAATGGGGTAAATACCTGAAGTCTAACTTCAACTGTTTCAGCTGTGAAGTGGCAGGTTTGTGATGTGTGACACTGCTCTGCCCTTTAAGCAGGAGCCTTACCTGTCCACATCAGGGGCTGGCGGACTGGTGGCTCCACCCATGCCACCTAGCCACTTGCTACAGGGGACCAAGAATAAGTGGTGCCCCCCAGTCCTCACAGCCAACAGAGCAGGGTGCTCACAGTCCAGCTGCAAAACTCACCTACCTACTCACTCTAGGAAACAGGGACACGCTTTCCTTTCAGACACTCAGGGGCAGCCATCAGGCCCTGCCTTGTTCAGCTCGTGACCCCCTACTGCAGCCAGATACCTGTGCCTACACCAATCACCCACGCCTCTCTAAGACTGTAGGTTAGAGCCTGCACCACACACTTGATGACCGACTGCCTGGACACCTGAGCTGAATCCATACAGGAAAATTTAACAGACTCTTGGGCACACATACTTTGTAACAGACCTAACTACCTGGTGACAGGATGTTAGAGCTTCAAAGGCGCCAATAATCAAACTAGTGCACATGAGCAGCCTATCTGGGCATATCAAAACAAAATAAAACAAGAAGCTAGGACACAAAAACAAATATAAAATAAAATTATAATAACTTATTGATGGCTCAGAGACAACAGGCAATATCAAATCACATAAAGAGGCAGACCATGATGGCTTCAGCAAGCTCCCAAAATAAAGAATCAATAAATTTTATGGAGGAAGAGAATTTCTTGGAACTACCAGAGGCAGAATACAAAAGATTAATATACACAACTCTCCAAGAAATTAGGAAGGAAATTCTTCAACATGCAGAGACAGCCAAAGAACATACAGAAAAAGCAGTAGCGGAACTTAAAAAGGTTACTCAAGAGCATAAAGACAAATTTAATAGGCTGCAAGAATCCACAGAGAGACAGCAATCAGAAATCCAGAAGATAAATATTTCAGAATTAGACAACTCAATAGAAAGTTATAGAAGCAGAATTGAGGCAGTAGAAGTCAGAATTAGTGACACTGAAGATAATGCACTTGACACCAACTTATTTGAGGAAAAATCAGATAAAAGAATTAAAAAGAATGAAGAAACTCTAAGACTTATGTGGGACTCTATCAAGAGAAATAACCTATGAGTGACTGGAGTACCAGAACAG